GGCAAGTGGTGACAGAGAGACAAGCTGCAGTCAAACAACAGAACTTTGTGTCAAAGAAAAGGAAAAAAAAAACACAGAGATGCTCCGGCTCCTTGCAGAGACTGACAAAGAGCTCGACCCGGTAAACAAACCCTGCAGTGTTATCAGGCCCAGCCCAGACTCACACTGCAGCAGGTAGTCAGGAAAAAAAAATAAACACAACAAAATAAGACAAAAAAAGTGCTTTCAGTTTCACATCCTGGCACTTTGAACACATTCAGCTTTAAAACAGGCTTAGCTGGGATATTCAGACGACTGCACTTCAAACACAAGCAGCTTCATTAGCCAGGTTCTGCAGCAACACACAGAACTTCATCTGAAGTGGGTTAAACTACTGCAGGTGTTTACCTCCAGGCTCATTCTGGACCTGTTTATTAACAAAACACCAGAACAGGAAGTTCTGACCCAACGGTTCAAAACAGGCAGAAAAGATGCTGGTTTCCTCTCTCAGGTTAGCTTTTACGCACTTGAGTCAATACTTTGTGAAAGGATGTTCTGTGGAAAGCTATTAAATAATATCTTACCTGTTGTAGATAGCTGTCTGGCAGGCCTGATGAGCTAATRGCTAACCTGAACACAGCAGAGAAATAAACAGTCTGCTGCTTTTAAAATAGTTTWAAACTTGAAATAGTTAGATGTGGGTTTTAATAAAGTCTGCACTGACCGATAACAAGCTAATGGCTAGTCTGAGCCGTCAGAAACAAACTCCAACTTTAAAAAAACTAGTAAGATGTTAAACTGAATAAATTCATTAATAACCGAGTAATGCAGAATTACCAGCAGTGTAAAGTTGAATCTATAAAATGATTGAGATTAAAACACCAACAATCCTCTTGAGTCTGCGTTCAGACTAGCCATGAGCTCATCAGATAAATAAAAGTTTATAAGTGAACTTCAGCATAAATAAGTGAACATAAACTTACTTTGCTTTGAAGTTGTGAATTTAAGTGTTGCTGATGGCCATGGATCCTGAACTTTAGCTTTAAAAAGCTGTTTACATAGCTGGCACATTTTCCTCGACTCTTTATTTTTTCTTTCTGAAGTAAAATGTGTTCGCTAGCACCCCCCGGTGATCAAACTAGAGACATGTCACTGTTTTTGTTCGACTAGTTCATCATTAAAAGCTGAATTTCCAAAACAGCTGTTCTCATTCACAAATTCTAATGCTTATATTATGAAGGGGAGGAGAAAAACCAGACTTTGACTTCAGAATAATTGAGAAAGTGTATACACTTTTAATGCTTCGGTTAGCATCAGCTCATAGAACTCTGCTGGCCTCTGGAAAAATATATTTATACTTTAAAAACGATAACGGCACAAACGGAAATTTTTGCTGCACAAACGTTTGACACAAGTTTGTTTGATTCGGTTAAAGGCACAGTGTGTAGGATTTGTTGTTTTCAGCGACATCTAGTGGTTGAATCATCCTCCCTGGTCCTCCCCCCACCCCCACTTGCAAACGTAAAGGAGTTGCTACG